TTTTTTATTTAAAGGAAAATTTAAAGGTACTCAGTGCTGTACAGCTGCAGGTGTTACTGCAACAATCCATCAGTTTGCTTTTGTTCATTTCAGTCACTTGTGGCCAGAATCACAAAGAAAAACTCCAAAAGGGAATCAAACTTAAAACTCTGAGCTAAAAACTTCGAATCACATAATAACAATTAACCATAGCTGCCATGGTAAATTATTACTGATAACTATTGTTAGTGGTCCTGACATTAATATGATCAGGCAGTTTTATTATATATATATATAAAGTTATATATATATATATATAAAATTCCCTTCTCACCCACCGCGGGTGGTTCTTATCCTCTGAGCTCGGGTCCTCTACCAGAGGCCTGGGAGCTTGAGGGTTCTGCGCAGTATCTTGGCTGTGCCAAAGACTGGACATTTCTGGACTGAGATGTCTGATGTTGTTCCTGGGATCTGTTGGAGCCACTGCTCCAGTTTGGGGGTTACTGCCCCGAGGGCCCCAATGACCACAGGCACCACTGTGGTCTTCACCTTCCAGACCCTCTCCAGTTCTTCCCTGAGGCCCTGGTATTTCTCCAGTTTCTCCTTTTTCCTGATGTTGCAGTCGCTTGGTATTGCTACTTCTACCACAACGGCTTTCTTCTGTTGTTAGCCACTATGACAATGTCTGGTTGGTTCGCCATTACCATTTTGTCTGTCTGGATCTGGAAGTCCCACAGGATCTTAGCTCTGGCGTTCTCCACCACCTTTGGGGGTGTTTCCCACTTTGATCTCGGGGTTTCCAGTCCATATTCTGCACAGATGTTTCTGTACACAATGCCTGCCACTTGGTTATGTCGTTCCATGTACGCTTTCCCTGCCAGTATCTTGCACCCTGCTGTGATGTGCTGGACTGTCTCAGGGGCCTCCTTGCACAACCTACACCTTGGGTCTTGTCTGGTGTGGTAGATCTGGGCCTCTATTGCTCTGGTGTTTAGGACCTGTTCCTGGGCGGCCAGGATGAGGGCCTCTGTGCTGTCCTTGAGTCCAGCTTTTTCCAGCCATTGGTAGGATTTACTGATATCAGCCACTTGGGTTATTTGCTGGTACATCCCATGTAGGGGCTTGTCCTCCCATGATGGTATCTCTGGCACCTCAACCTCCGTTCCCTGTTGTCTGAGACATTCACTGAGCACATTGTCTGTTGAGGCTTTGTCCCTGATGTATTTATGGATCTTAGTTGTTTCGTCCTGGACAGTGGTTCTCACACTCACTAGTCCTCTGCCTCCTTCCTTGCGGCTCGTGTACAGTCTCAGGGTGCTGGATTTGGGATGGAACCCTCCATGCATGGTTAGTAGCTTTCTAGTCTTAATATCTGTGGCTTTTATCTCCTCGTTTGGCCAGCTACTTATTCCAGCAGGGTATCTGATTACTGGCAGGGCATAGCTGTTTATCGCACGGATTTTGTTCTTGCCACTGAGCTGGCTTCTCAGGACTTGCCTTATTCGTTGGAGGTATTTAGCTGTCCAACGAATAAGGCAATAAGAAACAAACTTGGGAAAGTCATATAGATCACACTATGGAAAAAAGTAAAAAGGTTCTTAACACTATGAGGTGCTTGACAAGATTGACATGGGGTGCAAACTTTGAATCACTTAAAAATATTTATGTGTCATTAATTCGATCTAGAATAGACTATGGGAGTGTGGTGTATGGATCAGCAAGCAAAACTAGGTTAGACAAATTGGATATTATTCAAGCCAGAGCTTTGAGAATTTCCTTAGGGGCAGTTAAATCTACTCCAATATGTGCATTACAAGTAGAGTCAGGAGAGATGCCATTATGTATTAGAAGACAGCAGATCATGGTAAATTATTGGATAAGTTTAAAAGGACAAAATGAAGATCATCCAGTTAAGAAAGTGCTACAAAATTGTTGGGAGAGAGGAAAGGGGAAAAGTAATAGTTTTGGGTGGGTGGGAGATGATAGAGCAAAAACATTTAATGTATTTGACAAAGAATTCAGTCAAACAGTAGTATGGCCTGTGAGACCAGCATGGTCATGGAAATATATTAATGTAGATAAGTCACTATTAGATAGTCAGGGGAAAAAGATGATAGATATGTGCCAAGAGTTTTATCATCAAATACAAAATAAATATGATTATGTACAGATTTATACTGATGGTTCAAAAGATCCTAAAAACGAAGTAACTAGTATAGCAGTAGTGATTCTAGATTTATATACAAAGATTTCAAAAAGAACATCTGATTACTTGAGTATCTATGCAGTAGAATTGTGTGCTATATTATTAGCTTTAGAATGGGTGGAGGATAGTAAAGGAAATAAATTTATAATTTGTAGTGATTCATTATCAGCATTGATGAGTATTGAAAAGGGATGTTCAAGTAATCATCAAAATATATTATATGAGGTTATGGCTGTTCATCATAGAATATGTGAACAAAATAAAACTAATATTATTTTGGACTCCTGCTCATGTAGGTATTTTAGGTAATGAAAGAGCAGATAGGTTGGCTAAAGAGGCTAGTGAAAAAGAAGAAATTGATATGTTAGTAAAGCTATCGAAATCAGAGGGGAAAAGTATAGCTTGGAGAGAAAGTAAAAAGATATGGAAAATTAGGTGGGATAGTGAAATTAATGGAAGGCATTTATACAGGTTTCAAAATACAGTTGATGTAGAAAGGGTTAGAGGATTAAATAGAAAGGTAGAGGTAATTATAACTCGAATAAGAACCGGGCATAGTTTATTAAATGGAACTCTTTATAAGATGGGGAAACATCCTACTGGTTTAAGTAGTTGGTGTGATTCTGTAGAAACAATGGAACATGTTTTTATTAGTTGTAGGAATTAGGCTGTACTGAGGAATTGAAGTTTGAAAAAGTGGTTGATCAGTTAAATAGTAGTGAGGTGAGGAAGAAAATTTTTCGTTTTTTTAAAAAACAGTGGGATTATTTTGAGAATTTGAGAGATAGATATTAGGATCCAATAGATGGCAGTAGTGCAACAAAAATGGAAGCAAGCTGCCGTTAAACCTAAAGAAGAAGACACAAATAAAACAATACTATGTACTTTGTTTAAGTTTCGTGGATTTCCAAGTGATCCTGAATTAAGACGGCTTGTAAATATTAATCACTACCAGTTAAAGCTACCATTTAAAGCTAACACTGCACAACAAAGTTTGCAGCCTTCACTTTACTCCAGATCAGCTTCTTCAGCCTAAAGACGAAGGTAAAGGATCCGTCCTGTGTTATTTCCATTAAATTGCTTCTGTATTCACCCTGAAAGAGAGAGTGTTTGGGAACGAGAGAGCAGAGCCGGACAGCCGAGCCACTGATCCGCCTGTACACACCGCTGTAAGCACCGTCCTAATGAGCCTGGGCTCGTTGCGCTTCGTCAGGCTGGAAGCAAAAAGCCTGAACTGTAATCTGTCCCCCCCTCCCCGCCCGCGTTTGTTGTGGTTAACAATAAATACATATAATATACTTGAGAATAAGGTACACACATTGGCCATTAGAATGGATGAGAAATGTTTAGATATCTAAATAGCAGATTTTTTACAAAAAAATGTCTGAAAATATTGCCTACTAGCATAAGCTAAAGCTAATGTTAGTCACAAAGTTTAAAGAAAGTAAAACTCACCTTCGTATCTGTGAATGTATAACGAGGCGAACATCTTAAAACCTTTCTCCGACTTACTTGTTGGGGCTTCGGATCGATGAACATTATTAATTATTACATTGGAAAAGCCCTACAGATACCCGGTGTAAAGCACCGTTTTCAATAGATCGGAAACATTTGAGCCGTTTTTCCCGAACGCGGAAGCTCAGGTGCAACGAGCCCTCTGTATTTTCATGTCATATTAGGAATGTACTGAGATCGCCCCCTACTTGTCGGAGCTGATAAAGGAAATTAATGCATGAAGGACTAAAATTTAACTTGTGATTTTACTGAGGTGTACTCAGGTAGTTTACCTCAAAGACTGAAGAAGTCAGAATGACATCTAATATTAATATTACTAACAGCACAAAGAAAGCTGTAACTCACAAGTGGCTTGATGTGAAACAATCATCATCTTTGGACTGGAAGGAAATAATTCAGGAAAGTCATCCAATGGAGAGACTGACTTTCATTAAAACTTTCGGTTGATAAACAAAACATATTGGAAGAAATAAAATGTCCGCCTGAACCTGGCACCAAATGTAGGGTCAATGTAATTATCTCTTTTTTATTGTGAATGTTCTCACATTGGGTTTTACTCTTTTATTATTTAATTTTCTTTGTCCAACACGATACTTTCCATTGATACTTTGCAGTTTTCGAGGCACAGAATACCGGGAGTTGAACAGACAGCTCAGTACAGAGGATCAGGGCAGAGGGAAACCTCTGCTCGCGTCTGTAAGTAGCGCTCCATTACGATCAGAGAGTATCAGCAGGAAATACGTCTTCTGACAGATTTTTGGTTGCGGGGACGCTGGCTCTTTCCTGTTTCTTTCTTTTAGCTGGATTGGGCTGAGGATCCCAAAAAGTGGAGCAGCACTGGAGCGTCACGCAGTCAGCTGTGGGTCGGCAAGAGAGTGCGCTGCAGACGGATCGCCTCCATCAGAAGCAGCATACTAAGCAGAGCCTAACCTGTGGGCTCTAATTGCTGACTTTTATTTCAGGACAATTGTTAAATCCTGGATTTTATTGAGAAAAAGAGGAATGTTTTATTGTGTCACTAGTGAAGTGACTTCCTTGTAATAAAATTCCTTGCACCTGATTGCTTTGCTGTTTGGGTGTTTAGAATTGCTTGCTCCTCCTTGTGCTAAAGACAGAGTGTGGGGCCATATTGGCCACATATTTATATTTCTGAAACTGCAAAAATAACAAAATATTAAATAAAATTATTCAAAGGATGAAGGAAGTGGTTAAAGACCAAAAAATCCAGAAACAACTTGAAGAAACAGGAAGATAATAGTGCTTGAATCAGCATTCACACAATGAAAACATCTGGACTCACCGAGCCTTTCTGCAGTTCCTCACAGCTGGAAGCAGTCTCAGTCGTCCATCATATGACGCGTTATACTTCTCCAGGTCCAACTCATCCAGAACCTCTGACATCTGCAGCATGAAGGCCAGAGTTGAACAGTCAGTCTCTGAGAGCTTCTTCCCTGAATCCAGCAGCCTTTGGATCTCCTGATAAAATGAGACGTCGTTCATCTCCACCAGACAGTAGAAGATGTTGATTCTTCTATCAGGAGAGATTCTATCAGTGTTCATCTTCTTCAGGTTGGTGATGATTCTCTGGATGGTTTCTGGACTGGTCTCTGTCTGACCCAACGGATCTTCTAAGACTCTCTGGTTGGACTCCACAGTGAGACCATGAAGGAAGCGGACAAACAGGTCCAGGTGGCCATTTTCACTGCTTAGGGATTTCTCCATGACTTTCTTCATGAACTCATCCAGAGATGTTTCATTGTATTCTTCTCCCAGGAACGTCTTGATCTCCTCTGACTTCCTGCTGGTGAAGCAGTGGAGCATGTAGACTGCAGCCAGAAACTCCTGGATGCTCAGATGAACAAAGGAGTAGACTGATTTGTTGCCCACCCGACTCTCCTTTTCAAACATTTCAGTGAACACTCCAGAGAACAACGCAGCATCTTCTATGTTGATGCCGCACTGTTTGAGGTCTTTGTCAATGAAGATCAAGTTTTCCTTCAGCAGCTGCTCAAAAGCCAGTTTTCCTAGAGACTCAATCAACTTTCTGTTCTCTGGACTCCAGATAGATTTTGTTTTTCGTCGTCCATCAAACTTTTTCTTCTTGATTGCGAAGTGAACTTCCAGGAACTCTATGTACATCTCAGTGAGAGTCTTGGGTAGTTTCTCTCTCTCTCTGGTCTTCATCACATCCTCCAGAACTTTAGCAGTGATCCAACAGAAGACGGGGATGTGACACATGATGTAGAGACTTTTTGATTTCTGGATGTGGGAGATGATCCTGCTGGCCTTCTCTTCATCATTTATAAATTTCTTCCTGAAGTATTCGTCCTTCTGGGGGTCAGTGAACCCTCTGACCTCTGTTACCATGCCGACACATTCAGCAGGGATCTGATTGGCTGCTCCAGGTCGTGTGGTTATCCAGAGGAGAGCAGAGGGAAGCAATTTCCCCATGATGAGGTTTGTCAGCAGAACATCCACTGAGGTGGACTTTTTAACATCAGTCAGGATCAAATTATCATCAAAATTGAGAGGAAGTCGACACTCATCCAGACCATCGAAGATAAAGAGAACCTGAAACTTTTTAAAGCTGCAGATTCCTCCATCTTTAATATCCTCAAAGTGATAATGAATCAGTTCCACCAAACTGAACTTTTCTTCTTGCAAGTTATTCAGTTCTCTGAAAGTGAATGGAAATATGAAATCTATGTTCTGGTTGGTTTTGCCTTCAGCCCAGTCCAGAGTGAACTTCTGTGTTAACAGTGTTTTCCCAATGCCAGCCACTCCCATGGTCATCACTGTTCTGATTGGTTGTTCACTTCCAGGTGGTACTTTAAAGATGTCTTCTCGTCTGATTGTTTCTTGTTTCCTGGATTCTGTTTCAATGCGTCTGACTTCATGTTCCTGGTTGACCTCTCTAGTTAACCCCTCTGTGATGTGGAGCTCAGTGTAGATCTGGTTCAGAACGGTTTTATTTCCATGTTCTGCGACACCTTCAGAGAGACTTTGGAGTTTCTTCTTCAGATGGTTTTTAAGCTTCTGTTGACACTGAACATCAAAATCTGAAAAAAACAATCAAACCATTTCAGTCATTCAGAAAATCTAGGTTTTTTTTTAAATAAAACTCAGTCTTGTGCTCACTGAGGTAACAGATAGAAGAAAAAAGCAAATAAATAAAGGTTCTTGCTGCACAAAGATGATGAGAATTAGTTTTGTTCATTTAAAACTCTCATGGTTTTCTCAAGAAGGACCTCGCTGTAGCAAACAGAAAGGGGTGGGGATGGACACCTGTCAGTCTCATACATTATATGGAAATGGGACTGTTGCACTGCGGAAGTGAAGAGGGCGCTGTTTCCTATAATATCCGCAGTCTCCCGTTTTTATTTTCTTTCGAAATATGTGATATATTTTCACCTTTAGGAAGGAGTTTCCCTTTCATCTATTTTAACTTTTCTCTTTTATTTACTTCAGAGAAGCTCACAGTTTTTAACAAATTCTTTAGCTTTTGGTCCACTTCTAAATCTGCTCCTGAGTCTCATTTTTTGTCCCTGCTATTGCCTCTGGTGGTGTGGGGAGGTAACACAACTAATCTAATTACATTACTAAATCAGAATACTACAAAGTCTTTATTATTTACTATTAATTTTGGCATTAATTAAAAAATTTATTATCTTATTTAACACCATATATTTCTATTTCTTTAAAGATGTAGAGCTAATTAAATGACCTAAAAAAAATAAATAAAAAGACACCCTCACACGTCTAGAGGCAGTAGCAGGGATGAAAAGATGAGACTCAGGAGAAGATTTAAAAGTAGACTGAAAGCTATGGAATTTGTTAAAAACTCTGAGCTTCTCTGAAGTAAATAAAAGAGAAAAGTTCAAATAGCTGAAAGGGAAACTCCTTCATAAAGGTGAAAATATATCACAGATTTCAAAAGAAAATAAAAACGGGAGACCGTGAATAATATAGGAAACAGCGCCCCCTTCACTTAATATATTAAATGTTTTCTCTGTGGTGGCAAATTTCGAAATCTTGTCAAAACAGACTGTGTCTCACCTGGACCAAGGAAGTCAGAGGACAAACCCAGCTGCTTGGACAGAGTCGGATCCATTTGATGAAGACGTTTGATCATCACTCTGCAGGCTCTCTGTCCTTTCTTCATCACAGCATCTATGGTGTCACGAGCCTTGTCTGCTCTGGTTTGGTTCTTCTGCAGTACATCCTCTATCTCTGAAAACGTAAAGATCCCATCTGATAGAAGGTCATCGAGAAGCTGTTTCAGGATTTCCTCAGAAACTCTCTTCACAAACTTAGGGCGAACCTTGGAAAGTTTTTTCTCTGCAGAAAAAATCAGAAACAGGATTAATTTACATCTGAGAGAAAAACATGATGAAGATCACCTATTCATGTTGCTCCATCCAGAGATTCCCCTCAGAGTCTGCTGATCAGCTCCTCAGGTCTAAAACTCTTGTTGTGTTTTTGCCTCATATCTGAGTGACGACCACTGATTCTGTTTACATGAGAACAAATGAAGCTTCTGGTTCATCATTTCTCTAAGCTTTAGCATCTCTGTCACCAAATGTTGGAAAAAAAGACACAGCAAGTCTTTGCATCTGAGATAATAAATTAGTCATATGTCATCCTGTATTGAAATTCACAAATCAAATATGTTTCAAAAAATTTAAATATTATGCAATTAAGACACAACTAAGAGACTACAGCAAGTATAAAGTCTAAGTATTTTAGTTTTTGAAGTAGAACAGTTTAAAAATGCTCAAGATAGTGAGAAATTGTGTGGAACTGCCCTTTAGTCATTTTCTGAAAACACATAAAACACTTGAATAATATATTAATTGCTTAAAAGATTAAATGTCAAAATTAAAACCTGGATTTGCCCACAAATAATTAATTATTGCCCAACCATTATCTGATTGATGCTCTCTTTTTCCATCCTGTCTGCATTTTATTCCTCTTAATTCTCTGATGTCTCGTCATATTGATCCTATGAAGTGTTTGACTAGAGCTGGTGGCATAGGTTATGGTGCAAAGCGACCGTTAAGAATAAGTGATAAATTGTTTATTTTTCTGAACAGGCTCCAATTCAATGATGACTATGTTAGCCAGAGTTACCAACACACAAGTTCCAGTTACACTAGCTGAAATAATTGATCACAAAAAACTTTTAAACCTTGAATTTCCAAATCTAAAGATGTCGATCTGGTCCAACAGGAGGAAGGATGAAGCTCTGATTCCTCCTGTTGTTCAGTTCAGTCTCACCTGGAACACGGCTGCTCTGTTTGGCTGTCAGCCGTTCAGCTCCTGTTCTGGATCTTTCCCCAAACTTCCTCCTCCTGTGAAGACATTTCTTCATCAGTAAAATATTTCACTATGAAGATGCTGGAGCTGTCCTACTGAAACTGTTCATGAAGGCCCACCACTAACTAGAGACCAGAAATTGGGTCAGAACAGAACCTCAGAGCATTGATGATCTCCGGTTTGAAGTTCTGCTTCGTATTATATCTGATTTCATGACTGATACCGTGTTCCCAGTCTTGAAGCTTCTGTGCTTCCCTGGGTTTACAAACAATCTGAGTCGTTGCTCCTCACGTTGTTGGTTGTTTTTGTTTTCATGCAACATTTTCATAATTTCTCATTCAGACTTTCATTCAATCTCTGATTTACTGACTGACATCCTTCATGGCTAACTTTAAATTAAAATACCAGAAAATTAAGTTGCTGTTTCCTGAAATACTGAAGATCAACCAGTTCATATAATTTATTTTTTCTCTCTGTAGAGTCACATGAATCAGTTAGAAAATGTTTTCCTACGTTCTGTCTGAGGCACCAAGTTCAGTCCTGAAGTCTGGAGGTTCTGCACTGTTCTTTTCCCAATGCCGATCTTCCATCTTCTGGCCTTTTGGAGAGAGAAACCAGAACCAGTCAGTCCAGTGATCCAATTCACTGGACAGTTACCATTCACCAATAGTAACTGTTCTGTGAAGCAAAAAGGTGGTTCCCATCATGTGTTCAGAGGATCAGAGTGAATTATATGAATGAATGACTGAACATTTCCTATGAACTAGTGAACTTATTTAGCTCCCACAGCAGACTTGAACGCATCATGATTCTGTTGTAGCTCTGTATGGAGGGAGTCAGTGTGCAGAAGGTTCTGAGGGAGCAGCAGCTCAGGTTGGGTCCACAGCTCTCCTCCAGACAACCGGGTCCAACAACATGTCAGCCTCTGTGTGCAGCTCAGCAGGATTTCCTCTCAGCAAAAAAGACACATAGCAGCTTTCAGGAACCACAGCATCCAGCTGAGGTATCAGCTGGACCCTGTCATGATAAAAATTACAATGAAATCACATCTGCTAGTCAGGTCATATGAAATGTTTGTGAACTCTCACCAAAAGAATGATTTGGGTTACTTGTACGAGGTTGGAAGGTTGCTTTCCACAGCTGCGTCAGGACTAGATTGTTTTTTATTCCTTATCATTGTTTTAAAACTTACACGCTCCCTCGGCCTGGAGAGCTTTGTGAGCTGGGGGAGCCTTGCATCTAGACTGGCTTGATTATTGATTGTCTTATGAGCTCTCTGTATTGTGCACAATGCATGAATAAACCTGATTGAGTGATTCTACCTGGACCAGGGGTGTCAAACTCCAGTCCTCAAGGGCCACTGTCCTACAGTTTTTCGATGTGCTACAGGTACAAAACACTGGAATGAAATGGCTTAATTACCTCCTCCTTGTTCTCCAGAGCCTTAATGACCTAATTATTCTATTCAGGTGTGGTGCAGCAGAGGCTCATCTAAAAGTTGCAGGACACTGGCCCTCGAGGACTGGAGTTTGACACCTGTGACCTGGACAGTGCTTGGAAAGAGATTTTTTCCACGACAACCCACTGCAAGGAATTATGGGTAAACAGTTGCTTCAATAGGGAGATGAAGCCCCCCTCACTTAATGAGGCCTGAAACATATTTAGTCTATTGATCTGATTGAACTTCAAAATAAAGCGACACATTAACACAACTTATTTTAGTTAGGAACCAGTTTGTTACAACTGATTTAAAATGTTTGTAAAATTATTTATCCATCCAGCCATCCATTTTCCGGTCACCCTTCTCCCTAACGGGGTTGGGAGGTGCTGGTGCCTCTCCAGCTGCGTTCCAGGCGAGAGGCAGGGTACACTCTGGACAGGTCGCCAGTCTGTCGCAGGGCAACACAGAGACAAACAAGACAAACAACCATGCACACACACACTCACACCTAAGGAGAATCTGGAAAGACCAATTAACCTGACAGTCATGTTTTTGGACTGTGGGAGCAAGCTGGAGAACCCGGAGAGAACCCACCATGCACAGGGAGAACATGCAAACTCCGTGCAGAAAGACCCCGGGCCGGGAATCGAACCCAGGACCTTCTTGCTGCAAGGCAACAGTGCTACCATGTGCGCCACTGTGCAACCCCTAAAATTATTTATTTTATTATTTTTCCATTTATAAGTATAGTTAATTTTAGGGGTGAACAGATTGAAGTTTTCTGGCTTCCTGCTACAAGGAGGAACAAGAAGAAAACCTGGAAAAAGACAAAACTCTGTGAGGACGAAGAGAGGAAATCTGTGGACTGCTTAAAGCCGGTTCTGATCCACAGACAAGAGAAACATCAGTTTCTGATGAACCCCAGATTGATGAGGGACGGAGTGATGTGATTCACTTCCTGTTGATTTCAACAAGCAGAGAAACTAGTTTACAATGTTTTAGTTCTGGTTTTTAGGTTAAAACACCAGAGAGTCACTGCAGCAAGAACATTGATGGACTGTAAAAGTTACATTAAGTTCTCAGTTTACTTAAATGTGAAAATGTCATTATTGATCCACACAAACAGATCAACTTTAGATGCTGCTGTCTTGGTAGATCATAGCTGATCATTCACCAGGTTAACTTCGCAGTAACTGAGCTTTGTGTTTATAGTTTGTTCAATATTTCTCTCATTGTTACTTATATTTGCATAATGTAACCTCACTTAGCATCACAATAAAGTTTTTCATTTTATCTATTTTCTTTCTTCAATAAAGTAAATAGAGCGCTGCTGCGGGGACCACGCCTTATGACAGCCGAGCAACCCAGGTCGAGGTGTCTGAAACCCATGTCTCTTGGAGCTCCCGGTCCAAGAGACATGGAGATGGACATGGAGCGGCAACACTTACCTCTGTTAACAACTCAGCAGTCTTATGTCTGTCCTCCGCTCAAAATGTAGGCTGATCTGAAGAAACTGAACAAAGTTAGTTTCAGTTTCTGTATCCACAGGAAGTCAAGTAACTTGTGTTTGCTTCTAGAATCAAAGTTTAAGTGATATGAATAAATATTAACAGTTCAGTTAGATTTAAAAAGGTGAAATAAAACTAGAATGAAGATGGAAAACCTTCAGTATTTCTGTTTTGTTGTTAGTGAAGCAGATCTGAAGATGAACAGCTTTTTTCAGCCGAACAAACTGCAGTAAATATGTATTTAAGGAGGATTATGAGCGCCCTCTGGTGGTGAACTATCCGAACTATAGACATTCCTCTTCATTTATTTGTTGGACTTTATTTGTTCTCATTTACTTTTATCAGGTCAAATAAAACCAGCTTACTTTAATGTTGTTAAATAAGAGTCACTGCAGGGTTAATAAATGAAAATGAAAACAAAACTGTTCTTCAGTAAAAATCCTCCAAAAAAGATTAACTGAGGGTAATTTTGAGAATAAAAGGCTGAAAAAATGTAAATAAGTTAATATAAAGTTTAAATTATTAGTACTTAATGTTACTTAGTTCATTTTGTATCACTGAATTGATCTGTGAATAAATGTATTACACTTTCCATCCATCGTCTACCGCTTATCCAGGGTCGGGTCACGGGGTTAGCAGCTTAAGAAGGGAGGTCCAGAGTTCCCTCTCCCCAGCCACTTCTTCCAGCTCCTCTGGGGGAACCCCAAGGGGTTTCCAGGCCAGCCCGAGACATAGTTCCTCCATTGTGTCCTCTCGATGTGGAGGAGCAGCGGCTCTACTCTGAGTCCCTCCCGGATGACTGAACTTCTCACCCTAACTCTTAAGGGAGAGCCCAGCCACCCTACGGAGAATTCCCATTTCGGCCACTTCTATCCGACATCTTGTTCTTTCGGGCATGACCCAAAGTTCATGACCATAGATGACGGTAAAAATGTAGATCGACCAGTAAATTGAGAGCTTCGTTGTTTGGCTCAGCTCTTTCTTCACCACGACGGACCAGCACAGTGCCCGCTTCACGGCAGATGCTACGCCAATCCGCCTGTTGATCTCCCGCTCCCTTCCTCCCTCATTCATGAGGGAATACTTGAACTCCTCCAATAGAGGAGGAGTTCTTTATTGAAGACCCCCCGACCCGGAGAAGTGACTCTACCCTTTTCTGGCTCAAGACCCTGGCCTTGGATTTGGAGACACTGATCCTCATCTCGGCCGCTTCACACTCGGCTGCGAACTGCTCCAGCAAGAGTTGCAAATCACAACCCGATGAAGCCAATTGGACCACATCATCCGCAAAAAGCAGAGATGCAATCCTAAGGCCACCAGAACGGATCCCCCCCCCACCAACTTGGCTGCGCCTAGAAATTCTGTCCATAAAAGTAACGAATAGAATCTGTGACAAAGGGCAGCCCTGGCAGAGTCCAACCCTCACCAGAAACGAGCCCGATTTATTGCCGGCAATGCAGACCAGACTCTGACACCGGTCATACAGGGACCTGACAGCCCGCATCAAAGGTGGACCAGAATTGCCTTGAAGCCGTGCGGAAGTCTTTTTCCATGGCCTCTCCGAACTCCTCCCACACCCAAGTTTTTGCCTCAGCAACCACCCGAGCCCGCCGGTACCCATCAGCTGCTTTCGAAGTCTCAGAGGCCAAAAAGGTCCGATAGGACTCCTTCTTCAGCCTCACCGAAGGTGTCCACCAACGGGTTCGAGGGTTGACGCCACGACAGGCACCGACAACCTTTCGGCCACAGCTCTGGTGAGCCGCCTCGACAATGGAGGTATGGAACATGGTCCACTCAGACTCAATGTCCCCAACCACCCCTGGAATGTGTTCGAAGTTCTGCCGGACATGGGAGTTAAAGCTTCATTTCATAGGGGATTCTGCTAGACGTTCTCAGCATATCCTCACAACATGTTTGGGCCTGCCAGGTCTGACCTGCATCCTCTGCCACCGGAGCCAACTCACCACCAGGTAGTGGTCGGTGGACAACTCCGCACCTCTCTTCATCCGAGTGTCCAAGACATACGGCCGCAGAGCCGATGGAACAATGACAAAATCGATCATCGAACTGCTGCTAGGGTGTCCTGGTGCCAAGTGCACATACGGACATCCTTATGCCTGAACACGGTGTTTGTTATGGACAATCCAAGACGAGCACAGAAGTCCAACAACAGAACACCACTAGAGTTCAGATTGGGGGGAGGGTTCTTCCCAACCACGACCCTCCAGATCTCACTGTCATTGCCCACATGAGCGTTGAAGTCCCCCAGCAGAACGAGGGAGTCCCCAGCAGGGGCAATCTCCAGTACCTCCTCCAAGGACTCCAAAAAGGGTGGGCAATCTGAACTGTTGTTCAGCCCGTAGGCACAAACAACAGTCAGAACCCGTCTCCCCACCTGTAGGTGGAGGGAGGCTACCCTCTCGTTTAATGGGGTAAACCCCAACGTACAGGCGCCGAGATGGGGAGCAACAAACTTAACAAGGGTTAAGTGCTACAACGCACATTATTTTACAAAAATAGTGATAAAACTACCACTTATTACACTTAACATGCACTTATTAAACACAAAAACGAAACTTCATACCTTCTCCCACGGAATCTGAACAGAAAGAGCGCGAGGGAGAGTGTGGGAAAACCCTTCACAGATTACAATGGTATGATCCACTAATTTATATTTTTAAACTCCAAACTGACACTAGAAACAACAATCCATGAACTAAATATATTCAACAGTGACAATAATAATTCCCATTTTTATTTACAACACATGTAATTTTTAATAAAAATAATAATTTTGAGACAGGAAGTTACAATGGGCCTGTCGTCCTTTCAAAATAAAACTGCCGGTGCTCAGAATTTCCTATCAGAAAATCTTTTCACTTAACAATCTAGTGCAGAGGTCGGCAACCCAACATGTTGAAAGAGCCATATTGGACCCAAAAAACGAAAAACAAATCTGTTTGGAGCCGCAAAAAAGTAAAAGCCTTATATAAGGCTTATAATGAAGGAAAAACAGGCTCTATGTGTTTATATTAGCGTATTATCAAAATGACTAAGTGTATACATAACTAGTATTCATGATTAAATGTTTATTTTTCCTGCAGTGCATCCCGGAAGGAATAACGCACCACGTGACTCTTCTGTTACAATATGAATGCATTTACAAAATTAAAGAAACGCAATAAAGAAATCAGATTTTTGATATCATTTTTATTATGAAGAGCGACAGGGAAAGTGTGATTTTTTCCCTTTTTGGAACACGGAAAATCTGCCCCGAAATGCAGTTTGCATAACGACGATCGCTCTTTGTAAATAATCACCGTTAAGTGTGTGATTAAAAAAAAAACAAAAACAAACGGAGTGTAATAAAACGGCAGCCTTTTGAAAACGTAAAGTATATAAAATTAAATTAATATTGTTTAAGTTCAATTTCTGTGCAAATGCCAAGCAAGTCAGTGCAATAGTAACACATAGCAGCCATGAGCAACACGACCTGAGCAACGAAACAAAATAATATCGCTGTCATTCTAAAAGTATACTGATGAAAATTACTGTATCCCTTATTTATGTAAATCCGTAGGTTCAGCTTTTATTAAGGTGCGCTCCGGAAAGTACGATACTCTTTTAGATATTTGACAACTTATCGCTGCAGAGCGAACATTCAGACAATCCTTCCACACTGGCAACGAATGCAGAGGATTCGGTCCAAGAATTGTAAAATTTAATATTTCTTCTACACATTTTTATAGCACTGGAAAACATCAAGAATGATTGTGTTGTGTCTGTCCTCCTACAGAAACCATATTAAAACACAAAATATATTTCCCACCCCAATCTTTTTCCATTTTCAAACATTTTTGATGAAGCTCCAAAGAGCCACTAGGGCGGTGCTAAAGAGCCGCAGTTTCCCGACCCCGGATCTAGTGTAATAACATCACACTGCTACATTAGTCAGCATCAGTCATCAGGAGTCATCACAAAAGGCAAATTCAAAAAATGTGCCACGTATTAATACATTAGAATAATATTTATGTTCTGAATTCAGATTCCTTTTTTTGGTTTGTTCAGATGTTTCTTAAAATCCTACACCAGCCCTTTAGTAACTGCTTTGGCTCGGTGCCTCAATAAGGATGAGTTTTATTTTCTTCCCTTTATTACTGGACCATTTAGCACTGTCTGGTCTTGGCCTTACATACTTGTCAGGGTTACCTGTCATCATCTTCTTAGTGTTTCCACAGCAGAGACAATATAATTAGTCTCTGCTCATGTCTGGAACATCCAATAAACTCAGATTTGCAAAAACTGTTTTCCACTTTAAAATATACTGGATGCATTGTTTGTTCCAACTTTATAGAAGTAAGAACCTTGTTTTTGTCTGTTTTTTGACTGTTTTTGCTCTTTCACTGGGTACAGTCATGTGAAAAATTCTCCTTCATTTTAGGAAGAACAAAAAAACAGAAGGAGATTCAATAAACACAAATAATGTTAATGACTAAGGTCGAAGTGGAAGAAAACAGTCTCTTTCAAGATGTTGTGATTAAATGCTTTATGAAACTTGTGTTATGAAACAAAATAAAGGTTGATAGGAGAATGACAAGAGGAGAGCAAACCACAAGATGAGTCAAGACCACCATCAACTCTGGAGGAGATCAAATCCCTTCCAGATGGCGCGACGAGTTATTGTTAGCAAGAGACTAGAGACAAACCCACTCTACTTCAGTTAAAAAACAATCTCAGATGATTAATTTGGTAAATGAACTGAATTAATGTAGCATTATCTAGTCAAACTAAAAAACTAAAAATACATTCAAATATTCCAAAAAGGCAAAATTAAATAAAAGAAATGAATGAAAGCTATTCAAAAGGCAGCAGGAAGAAACATTTAAGAAGCAAATTTGTTATAATTTGACATGTAATATAATAGACAAAAATATTCAACTTTATAATAGTGAATTTTATTGAAAAAGGGACAACTTACAGAAAATATTAATTCAGTCTCAAAACTGGATAAACAATACACCAATAAACAAAACAAACACACACAGTTTATGTTCACATACCTGAGAGTTTTAAACAATATGTATAAGATATAAAAACCTTTGGGAGCTGCAGCTCCTCAGATCAGAGAATTGATTAGTAGCCTTTACAGAAACAGCCGATCGATCGCCTGGCGTCAGTAGGGCGAAATGAGAT